TTTTTTTTTTTTTTTTTTAAGTCGTACAGAGTTGGGGAGGAACGTGCCCGAGCAGGCTTTCGGTCAGCGCTGCGGCTGAAGTCCGGGGAGGGGAAGTGGCTTGATGACCATGGGGACGCCCTGAGCTTCCGCAGAGGAAGGCAGCGGGGGAGCAAAGGCGGGTCGGGGAGGGGGCCTGCAGCTAGGGAGGCGGGTAGAGAGGGCGCCCTCGGAGTAGGGAGACGCCCACCGCCCTCTCAGGGTGCCTGGAACCCTGAGGGCACCGCCTCCAGAGCGCCGCTGCCCAAGGCCAGGGACTTTGGAACTTCCCCGCCGGTTCCCCGCTTCCCTCCTCCCTCCCCAGAAACAGCGGCTCGGCGTCGGCACTGAGAGCACTGGGGCCTGGAAACCGCTGCTGCGGGGACCTCGCGGGGCATGTAGCTCAGCGCTCAGTTAGAGGTGGGGGCACTGAAGCTATTTTTATTTCTCTAGTGTATTTTGATTTTACCCTTTCCTTGGTGGGGTGCGGGGGCAGGAGTGAGGGGTGTCCCCCTGCTTGAAAAACAAGGTAATTTGACTTTGAAATCTAAGCATTCGGAAGCTAGGAGACCTAAACCTTCTCCATCACATGACACAACATGACTTATGCAAAGTAATGGTGATATTTTTCAATTTTCAATGTTACTGGTAAAATTTGGGAGGTAATCTTTAACTGGCTTATTAAGGAAGCAGAATATCATAGTTTTAAGACTGTGTTTTTTTCCTCTGTAAAGCAAATATACTTTCCATGCAGGTTACATGCTGTAGGTTTGCAGTGATTTTTCCATCAGTGAGAGAGAACTGCTTTTTGAGGAGGTGGGGAATTTTCAGGCTGCTGGTGATTGAACAGAAACGATAGAAGGCAGCAGCTGCTTTCTAAAAAAGACAAGTCTTGGGCTTTATTTTCAAAACAGCATTCCTGCTGTCTGACAAGTTGACTCATAAATACCCCCAATATTTCTCAAACAAAGAGGTGAGACGCATCTGTCACTACACAGAGGTCTCCTAGACTACCCTTTTGTGTTTTCTTTCCCTTCAGACCTGCTCTTGATACTAAAAGCTAATTCTATGTCTCTACAGTTGTGCTGGGATGGGGATAGGGTGAATATGCAGTGTGATGCCTCCTGGTCCTAAGTCTTTAAGGACGGCACTGATGGGGAACCTTGACACATATGAACACAGCTGGGAGATAATCTACCAAGGGTAACCGTTACAGAAGATGCAGCTGGATGTATCTAAAAACAGCAAAAACATGTCATGAAGCCAGAGGAAAATAAAATAGTGTCAGTAAGTGTAGCATCCTTGGCAAAAATGAGTTAGCAGAGCATGCAATAGCAATGAGAAGATAAAGGGCCAGTCGGATTCTGTGGATGGAAACAGTTTACTATTCAGAGAACAATATTAACATTTCCTATAACAGGAAATTGTGGATATCTGCCACAGACTATCACTTGATTTGATCTGTGACAGTAAATGATCAAGTGCCCAAGACTAAATTAAGAAGTGTCCTTTTCTAGTCAGGCCCCTATTCACTGAAGTATTCTTGAAAGTCAGTCACACTGAGTACATTCCATTGTGTGGATGTACTATAATTTGTTGACCCATTCACCAGATGATGGATATTTGGATTTTTTTCTACTTTTGGCTATTATGAATAATGTTGCTATGCACATTCATGTAAAAGTTATTGTATAGACATATAAGTGATTCTTTCCTGAGAGTAATGCCATTGTAATGCTATTAGGTTTATTTAATAATTATATCTTCTTATATTAAGTCAAATGCTGAACTATCTAGTTGAAATAGGAGGGTAGTGATGTACAATGAGAAATATTACCCCAAAATGAACTACAGTCATGTGCTGCATACAGTCAATGATGGAGGTCCCAGAAGATCATAATAGAGCTGAAAAATTCCTATTGCCTAGTGACATCCTAACCATCCAAAATACAATGCATTGCTCGTGTGTTTGTCATGATGCTGGTGTAAACAAACCTACTGTGCTGCCAATTGTATAAAAGTATAGCACATACAATTATGTCCAGTATATGATACTTGATAATGATAATAAACGACTATGTTACTGGTTTATGTACTTACTATGCTATACTTTTGATCACTATTTTAGAGCGTGCTGTTTATACTTACAAAATGTTTGCTGTAAAAACAGTATGCCACATTGTTAGCAGCAGCCTCATGCATCCCGTTTACCGAGTCTCTTGATATTGTTCATTTTCTCGCGCTTGATTTACTCTCACGTCATTTTGTTCATCAGGGCCCCTAAGCATACAAAATTCCCTGCTAATCTTGCCAGTAAGAGGTGTTTAGTGATTGATCTGGAAACAAAATTAAAAGTGATTGACTACAAGGGTGGAAAGTCATGAAGTTATTGCTCACCAGTCAGGCATATCTCACTTCACCATCGCTACAATCTTGAAGAACAAAAACAAAGAGATGGAAGCTGCTAAAGATCCACCTCATTGAAAACAACAAGACTAACAAAATTTGAGAAGGGCCTATGGCAGACATGGAGAAACTTCTAATGGCCTGGATTGAAGACCAGACGCAGAAGTGTAACCCTCTCAGCACCATGATGATCATGGCCAAAGCAAAAAGTTTGTTTGCAGTGTTGAAAGAAAAAGCTGGACCTGGCTACAATGTTCAATTTACTGCTAGCTCTGGGTGATTTAAACAATTCAAGAATAGTTACTCATTCCATAATGTGAAAGTGAGTGGTGAGTCTGCGAGTGCTGATATGAAGGCAGCTGAAGAATTTTTGGAAACTCTAGATAAGCTGATGTTCACATAATAATATCACCTAACAACAGATTTCTCAGAACATATTCCCACTATTAAGTAACTAATAAATGTATGTATAAATATCAATGTATAAATATTTAATTTTTGAAGAAATACTCTAAAATTAACGTGTGGGTATAATTTTATTTTTAGGTGCTCCAGTATTACCCCAAGAACTACAGCCTGAAGAAGAGCTACAATTGTGGAATGAGGTAAAGAATTATCCTTATACAAATTAGTAGAAACTTTACCCTTCTTTGAACTTATCATGGTAAAATGAAATAATATAATTGAGATTTGGAGCAACTATGATTTTAGTAACATTCTGATATTACAGTATTTAGAATTACAATTTTTATTAAAGAAGGAAAGGTGAAAAGAAACAAAAGTAAAATGTAAAGTAAGATGACAGAAGTAAGTCCTCATAATAGAGTACTTACAATAAATGTTAGAGGGCTAAAATACACCACTTAAAAGACAGAGATTCTCAGATTGTATTTTTTTAAAAAAGATGTAGCATATGCTGTCTATAAAAGTTACACTTAAAATGGAAAACAAACAAAAAACAGGCTAAGCATAAAAGGATGGAAAATGATGTACCAAGCAAATATGAATGGCAAGAATATTGCAGTAGCAATCTTATATCTGATAAAATAGAATTTAACTGAACAAACCATTATAACAAAGAAGAATCATATATACTGACAAAAGAACAAGCAAAAATATACAATCATTGTCAATATATATTAATAAAACAGCCTCAGAATTTATTTAACAGTTGATAGAACTTCAGGGAAAAATAGGTAAATGAACAGTTGTAGTTAGAGACTTTAATATACCTCTTTCAAAACTGATAGTTAAAACAGGTAACACATAAGTAGATATATAAAACACTTACCCATACAATTAATACATTTGAGCTATTATATTTTTTAAATCCTGCACTAAATCATATGCACATTCTTTTTGAATATAATTGGAACATTGACAAAAATAGACCATGTGTTAAAACACAAAGAAAATTTCCATAAATTAGAAAGGGTCCATTTTCAATGTTTTAAAATCATAATACAGTAAAATTAGAAATTAATAACAAAAGTATACCTTAAATATTCCGTCTACTTAGAAAATAAATATCATTTTGGTAAATAACCCTGGGTTAACAAGGAAATGATAAGATATTTCAACTGAATGACATAAAAACATTATAAGTCAAAATTTGTAGGCAACAACTTAAACAATAGCTAGAGAGAAATTTTAGCTTCCTATATATTTATCAGGAAGGAAAAAAATTCAAAAACAAGCTAAGTAGTCAACAAAAAAATGTGGAGAAAAGAAACAATAGGGAAAATGAAAAGAAACAAGAATGAATTAGATAATAAAAATAAGGGCAGAATAAATTTTAAAAAGAGAGAGGGGCGAACAAATTAACAATTTAACAAAACCAAATGCTTGTTCTTTCAAAATGTTATTAGGCACTGGCAGTACTGATTTTAAAGGTAAGAGAGAAGATAAAGATAAACAAGATATGAACTGGAAAAGGCTAGGCCACCAAAAAAACCCAGAGATTTAAAATGTTTTAAAAACTCATTATGGGTAATTGCACTGGCAAGTTGCCCAATTCTGTAAATAGCACACAAAAACCATGGACTTGTATACTTTAAATGGATTAATTGTATGGTATATGTATTATATCTCAATAAAACTGTCACCCAAAAACATTATGTACAGCTATATGGTAATCATTTTGAAAAGTCATAAGCAATGAATAAATTCATAGAAAACTAACTGATGCCAAAAAGGTGCACTAGTAACACAATAAGCACTAAAGAAACAATTTATTTTTTCCTTTGTTTTTCCCCAAAGCCTCCATTATTATGATACATAGTAAATGTATCTAAAACTTCTCCATAAAGTATAAGTTTGCTCTAGAATTTTGTTATATAACCTTTATCCAGTTAAGGAAATTCTCTCTTTAATTATCTTGTTAAAAGTTTTGTTAATCTTAAATCAAATTTTAACTTAATCAAATACTTTATCTGCATTGGTATCAAGATAAGCAATATACCTTTTCTCCTTTATAATTATGATGCATTACATTAAGAAATTTCATTTAGTTTTTTTCAGAAACTTCATAAATGTAACCTAAAATTGATATGGAAAAGTATAGGTGAACAAATAGTTAAGGAGGTTTTAAATATAAAGAGCTAAGAATGATAACTTGCCCTGCCAGATATCAAAGAAGTACTATAAAATTGTAGTTAAAGGTAAAGGCACAAAAACAGACAAATGAACCAATGGAACAACGACTGGAGCTTGGAGAGTTTAGCAGACACTGTCGGTGCCCTGTCATATCCCTTTGGCATTCACCATTCCAGGACACTCCAAATTTGCTGATTCTAATTGCATGCCACTGTGAATCTGCTTGCTTGGCCTATGCTCAGGGCAGACCAAAAATGCCTGGGAGTAAATGCCCCCACTGAGAGCATTCCTCAACTGATGACCCAAGGGAGTTAGCTGAGTTAGCTGGGATAACCCTGAGTTCTACATTGGCTCCCAGCGTTCCCCGGACATCTTGGCCCCAGTTACCCAGAGTGGTCCTGGGCTTGATAACATTCCCTTACTGGATTTCTTCTCTTCCTCGTTTTACTTCTCTGCTCTTCTGTTAGTGCTTCTTGGGCCATCTCCCCCCATATCTGCTTATACCCACATCCTTATCTCAAGGCATGTTTCTGGGGGAAACCAACCTAAGACAGAAATTCACGTACATACAAACTTAACACGATAAAAGTAATACTACAAGTCAGTGTGGAAAGGACAGATTGTTTGGCCAATGAGGGTTGAGAAACTGTCTTGCTCTATGGAGGAAAGTAAAACTTAACACTCTATACAGAGGTGGGCTCCAGGTGGATTAAAGATTGAAATATAAATGGTAAAATTATAAAATTGATAGAAAATATATTCTACTAGGAAAACATCTTTGTGAGCTAGGGGCAGGGAAAAACTTCTTAAATAAAACTTCAAATGTAAATCATAGGGCCAAAAACATGATGAATTACATTAAAAGTAAAGATTCCTTTCAACAAAAGACTCCATAGAAAAAGGTAAGAGCCTTTGAAAGGAGATGTTAACAATATCTAAAACTGATAAGGGATTAATTTCTAGAATAACCTAAGAAATGCTATCAAATCAATTAGATAAAGATGGGAATCCAAAGTAAAAATAGTAAAAGGATAGAATAATTTAAGACGAAACCTAAAAGGCCAACAAGCATCTAAAGCGATGCTCAAATTCATTAGTAATAATGAAATGAAAATTAAGAAAACAGTGAAGTGTCACTTTCCACCCATTAGTTGGGCAAAAAAATTGAAATTTAGATAATGGCAGGTGAGAGCAAGGAGGTGGGGTGTATGAACCCAAGGATGTGGTGAGAGTGTCAGCTCTGGAGCCATCTTGATTTCCCCATGGTCTAGCATTGCCTCCCGTGGTCTAGCATTGCCTCCCGTGGTCTAGCATTGCCTCCCGTGGTCTAGCATTGCCTCCCGTGGTCTAGCATTGCCTCCCGTGGTCTAGCATTGCCTCCCGTGGTCTAGCATTGCCTCCCGTGGTCTAGCATTGCCTCCCGTGGTCTAGCATTGCCTCCCGTGGTCTAGCATTGCCTCCCGTGGTCTAGCATTGCCTCCCGTGGTCTAGCATTGCCTCCCGTGGTCTAGCATTGCCTCCCGTGGTCTAGCATTGCCTCCCGTGGTCTAGCATTGCCTCCCGTGGTCTAGCATTGCCTCCCGTGGTCTAGCATTGCCTCCCGTGGTCTAGCATTGCCTCCCGTGGTCTAGCATTGCCTCCCGTGGTCTAGCATTGCCTCCCGTGGTCTAGCATTGCCTCCCGTGGTCTAGCATTGCCTCCCGTGGTCTAGCATTGCCTCCCGTGGTCTAGCATTGCCTCCCGTGGTCTAGCATTGCCTCCCGTGGTCTAGCATTGCCTCCCGTGGTCTAGCATTGCCTCCCGTGGTCTAGCATTGCCTCCCGTGGTCTAGCATTGCCTCCCGTGGTCTAGCATTGCCTCCCGTGGTCTAGCATTGCCTCCCGTGGTCTAGCATTGCCTCCCGTGGTCTAGCATTGCCTCCCGTGGTCTAGCATTGCCTCCCGTGGTCTAGCATTGCCTCCCGTGGTCTAGCATTGCCTCCCGTGGTCTAGCATTGCCTCCCGTGGTCTAGCATTGCCTCCCGTGGTCTAGCATTGCCTCCCGTGGTCTAGCATTGCCTCCCGTGGTCTAGCATTGCCTCCCGTGGTCTAGCATTGCCTCCCGTGGTCTAGCATTGCCTCCCGTGGTCTAGCATTGCCTCCCGTGGTCTAGCATTGCCTCCCGTGGTCTAGCATTGCCTCCCGTGGTCTAGCATTGCCTCCCGTGGTCTAGCATTGCCTCCCGTGGTCTAGCATTGCCTCCCGTGGTCTAGCATTGCCTCCCGTGGTCAAGCATTGCCTCCCGTGGTCAAGCATTGCCTCCTGTGGTCAAGCATTGCCTCTCCTGGGTATATAGCCCAAAGATATTCTCCTACAGATCCACAAGTGCAGGACAGATGCAAGGAGGCAAAGGAAGGATTGGAGGGAACCTGGCTCTCCATCATGGGGAATGTGTGGGCAGCATGTTGCAGGGATTCTGCAGGGGTTAGGAGCAGCATACTAGACGTACCCACTAACGCGGAGAGATCTCAGAGTATAGTGTTAATTGGAAAATACCATATATGTGTACCAAACAACAATGAAATTGTGTAAGAACCTAAGCAAATGGGGATCCACATCAACTACATTAGAAGAGTTGCCTGTGCGAGGATGGACTAGGAGTAGGAAGTGGAAATATAAAAAGAATAAATAAATAGAATCCAATGATAATAGTGAGCTATGGACTGAGGAGACCACCCTTTGTACCTAGTCACTCCCAACAACATATATAAGGGAAGAGACAAGACAGATGGTGAGGGCCAAGTACTAAACAGTCTTTAATAGCATAGGCATTCATAAAGTCTATTATGAGGATCTTTGCTTTGGTATATCAAAATACACACTGGAAAAATATAAACAAGATGAAGGATAATTTAGACAACAGGTAATGTATAATAAAGAAACATTGATTTTAGCTTGAAGTCATCTGTACTTCTGTGGAAAATTTTTGAAAAAATATTTTAGATAGTGCTGGGTAAACCTCTGAGATGTAAAAGCCTTATAATTTAAACAAGTTAAGATGCTAAGAATACTAGAAACACAGATTTTCAGCTCTTATACAGAGAACTAATGGACAGGAAAGATGAACAAGCAACGTCTATCTGTGAAAAACAGAAATGCCAGTTATATCTTAATACATTTTCAAACAAATTCATCTGTGGACTCTACAGAGTTCTCGAAATCAATTAGTGGCACTTAAAACCATTAGGGCCAGAAGCTGAGTGACGTGGACAAATGCTAACCCAAATGGAAAGTGGGTGAGCAATGTGGCTGTGCCTGTTCAAAGAAAGAACAAAGGATGGAAAGCTTTGCGGTTATCTTCTAATTTGATTAACTGGTATTTTTTTTCTTATTCTGATGTTTTTATTCAAACAGTGCTGCTGCACTGATGAGTTAATCTTGTGGTCCAAGGCGCTCTGTTCTCAGACGGGGCCATCTCTCGGAGATGGGCAGCCTGGCCTGTGGGTGGACAGCTTTCCCCCGAGGTGGAATGTCCCGGTGCTTCCTCCTCCTGAAATCACAGTAAATATCCTTGGGGGGCCATACCCTACACCTGGGTCACAATTCAGAGCTTTAAGGGCATCTTCTTTGGCTTTCCCTTCCCAATTGACTTCTCTTATATTTTCCCCACAAATTCAGTTACATTTAGTTAAGTAATATTCATTGAACACTTACCCTGGGCAAGTCGTTTATGTCATAGCCCCTGCCCTCTAGAAGCTGATCGCAGTGTGTGTGCCCGTGTACGTGTATGTGTGTCTCTGTATTTGTGATTCTGGGTTTGTACAGCAGGGCAGAGGGAGCAGGTGGGTCAGTCCAAGGGACAAGTGGAACAAAACAATTCCCCTGAACCTGGGAAAGAGATGACAAGTTCTGTGAGGATAAAAAGGAGAGAGACATAAGCTTATGCTTTTCGACAATATTGGGCACCTTTGCTTTTCTCTCGTTTAGAGAATCATGTTTTAGGAGATGTTCAACTTGGAAGCAGTAAGGAACTTGAGAAATTATGACTGAAGAGTGTGATAGTCCCCCCTCAGTTTGGTGGGAGAATGGAAATTAAATTAACTGATCAAAAAAGAATTCTGAGACTAGAAAGGGGCCCCTGAGATGTTACACCATAAACAGGATTCGACCTAAATGATCCCAGACAGACAAGAGTCAGTACCATTTTTTTTTTGCCGGTCCCATTTTTAAAAGCCCACCAAAGAAATAAATGCCAAAACAACTTCAGACATCCAGCTCAGTGCTTCACTTCTCAACACAGTTTTAAAAAGGATTAATATAAGTCTTTCATATTACAGTTTAAAATCTGTCAAGCTTTCTCTTTAGGATAAAAGTTGAGAACAGCTGGTTGCCAACTGTAATTCAATAAACCCTTGTAAAATAGAACTCTTTTCTAATGCTGGCTCCTTGGTAGCAAACTAGTAGGTTGCCCTTGTTGTGTAAGAGTTTTTACCATGTGCTATTTATCGTGCTATTTATAATTTGGCACTTAGACTAATACCATTTAATTTAGATGGTGTGGTTAGATTTACACGTAATAAAGAACCACATGATAACAAGGTGCTCCTTAATTCCAAGGCCATTGTTTAGTCACCATTCACATTTCTCAGGCTGCAGAATATGGGAAGTGTCTTTATACTGTCTGATGATCCCTATGAACTGTTCTTGGGAACATATGCCCCCTGTTGCTGGTGGCAAATTTGGGGGAAATCCCAATTCCAGGACTTCCTTAGAGAGCTTAGGAGACTCCTCTCTCCCAAATCCAAGAGTCCTACTCTGTCCCGGAACTTCAATTACTATTACATCGGTAACTTGACTTTGTGAAGTCTGCTTTCCATTTTCTGCTACTTTCTGTCTACCTCCAAGATGTAACTGGCATTTTTGTTTTTTACAGATAGAGGCTGCTTGTTCTTCTTTCCTGTCCACCAGTTCTCAGCCTCAGGTAATCCCAGTGGGAGGAGTTGTGTAATGATGTTGGCATTTGTGTAGTGCTGAATACTCCGTTTTCCCCTTTGGATCTGTCATTACTTTACAGACTTCTTAAAAGATGTTGACTTATTAGAAATTATTACATCATCTACAGGTAATATTCACAGCTAAGAGCTTATGCTGTGAAGTGCTAGGACTTTTACCTCTAATTAAAATAGATTTGAGATAATATACAAATATCTTGGAAATTAAAATGCTAATTAATATAACGTGTCTGTTGCTGTATTGGGAGGATAATACCTGTCCCTCAGTTGAGTCTGAAACCCATGGAGGGAGAAACTTATAGAATCAGACTTAATGGAGATCAGAGCATCCTTGTAACCGAAAAGTCAATTTATGAATTCGGCCTTAGAGCTGACGCCGTGTGTTTGCTAAAACTATCCCCAGAATTAAACTGGGTTAGACAGTGACTTGGGGCCTCCCGCCAGAACGAGGTTTTCTGCCACAGGGCAGAGACCTGACAAGAACAGCTGTCTCCCTAAGAGGAAAGGGCCGAATGGAGCATGCCCAATTTCCTCCTGGCAATGGGCTGTCAGATAACTCCCTCCCCTCCCCAAGGGAAAGAGTTAAGAGGGGCGGGGAGAGAGCAGTGTCAGTGTCACTCCTGTACTTAGAAACATGAGGAGTGGGATATAAGTGTGTCTTCCTTACACCATCTTTACTGGGCACTACTGCTCCTGCCTGCAGCTGCACCTGAAAGGCAGGCACCGCAGAGTTAGCCGTAGGTGTCTTGACCTTTTAAATAGTATCACTGGTCTTCTGGGTGGAGAAGAGGGCGCAGAGAGCCTGCTTTGACCCTTTCGGAGCAATCAGCTGTGTGCCTTGGGCGTGCCCCCCACATAGTCTGGCCAAGGTTCCTTGCCCTTCACAGTCCTTTCAGAATGTCATCCTGGCCGGTATGGATGATGCTGTATTTCTCCTGCCTCAAGCCTCTCCTTGGCCTGCAGAGGATGACCTGCAGAAGGTTAGAGGCATGAGGTGGGAAAGCAAGACGGGGATGGTAAGAGGTGACCTGTTTATGAATAATAATTCGAAGTACTTTAGGAGCGTTGACAGGCATATAACATGATGGATACAGCACACAAGCTTTTGTGTTGTATTTAAAATTCAGGGACACCCTCAGAAATCACTTTTATTTCTGCAGTTCTAAATGGACAAAGTTTAAAGCACTCGTCTAAATACAGTCAAGATAAACTAAGCTTTTATTGGATTTGGATAGTGCATACATTTTGAGGTGAGGCTGGTAAATTTATTATGGAATCTTTTACATCACCTGATACGGTTTTTAAAAATCACTAATTTTCACATTAACTATTATTTTATTTTATGCAATTATCTGAATTGTGCTTCAAAACATTTTTACCAAATAGAAAATAAAGGACCTTTAAGGTCCACAAATAAGACAATAAAATATTAAAAATTTAGTATAAAATAAATCCTTAAAGGATAGTTGTAGCTCCTTAAATAATGGCTTTGTGTAAAGAGTTGCTGGAGAAAATGTAATTTGTTTTGAAACATTTTCTGTCCAACTTCAAACTTGTTGTCAAGCCTCACCCAGCTTAGACTATATTTTCTAAGGAGACACTCGTGTGTCTGAATTTATTCTTCAAATTAAGAGATACATCTTTGACAAATGACATCACTGGATATTTGTTTTATATTTTGCAGCATTTCTAGATGGGCCATAAGAAGAAGTTTCAGGGATTTCTTTCCAGGTTTTTATTGGGTGACCTGTTTCCCCAGCCCCTGAAGGGAAAAAGTAAGGGAGGATGTCTCAGTGTTCACACTCTTTTTTCTCTCATCCAACTGCCACCCATAGGGGTAGCAGTCAATGCCAGCGCAACACAGGAATATCTAAAGGTCAGAAGACCTGGTTCCCAGGCCACACTCTACCAACTACGGGCCATGTGTGGTTTTGGGCGAGTGACAGTCTTTAGAACCTTCCTTCTTTCATACATGAGGATAACCGTCCTGTCCTGTGTACCCCACAGCTGTGTTTTAAGGATGGAATGTGAATTATGTATGTGAAAGTGTTTTGTAATTTATTGAAGCACTATGTAAATATGGGGCATTTAGTATTATTAATAAATATCCCCACAAGATGCATGGCAGGCAAACAAGCAGAAGAGAACACTGCAGACCTCTGGGCTAGGAAGGGTGCCCTGGGGAGCCATTTCATGACTCCAACTGTACCCTTAACTAAAACCAACCATATTAAGCATTCACTGTTGAGGACATTGGTGGCCCCAAACAATCCTTTTGACACGTCTTCTAAGTTATGAGTAAATACAGCTGGAAATCAAGCTTTACGGGTCCCACGTTTTTTAATGCTACCATTGTTAACTAATTGCTAGGTACCTGGCACTGTACTAAGAGCTTTGCCTACATTTAATCCTTCCAAGAATTCTCTGCAGTGATGTTGTCATCCTTGAATTATGGCTGAAGAAACTGAAGCTTAGAGAGGTTAAGTAGCCAGCCCAAAGCAACACAGCTAAGGAAGAGTAGAAATGGAATTTGCACCGCTGTAGAGCTGCAGGCTGCTCAACTCCATAGTCCATGTTTTGAACCACTAATTATATCACCCCCATGGTTCCAGGTCCTCATTATTTCCAATGTGTATTTATTAAGTAATCAATTGTTTATGGTACTACTGTGTTAAATTCTGTGCAAAGTAGGTTTCGCCCCTGCTTGTCCATTTGTGCTTCTCACCACACCCAGCTGGCTGCTAACCACAAGGAGCCCTGCCCTACTTCTGTACTCAGATGCTTTGAAAAACCTGATCCTGGGTGTGCAGTCAGCAGCCTGGAAGGGTGGTAACTCAGATTAGGTGCCCCATTGACCGCTCCTTCCCCTCCAACTCCCATTGTTTTTGAGCAATTGAAGGATTTTCAAATTAGCCAATAATGAGTAACATTCAGCGAGGCTCACAGCTTTGGCAAGTAGACTCAGACTCGGCTACAGACTGGGGGAAATTATCCCTCACTTGGCACTGCCCTCATTACTGTCTGTCACAGAACTCCATGAAATCTTAGCAAGTGCTGAGAGCTCTGCATGTGGACCACAGTGGAAGCCTTAATCAGTGCATATGTACAGTACGTAGATGGCTTTTTTCCTGTTTGGAAGGAGCTAAGTTTTTGTCATGAGAAAAATCAAGGGATTCCACAGAGCTTCCATGGCCCACGAGGAGGATTCTGTTCTGGGTACTTGGAATACCCTTACGTTCCCAATATTCTACAGTTATATCTTCTATGCAAATGTGGTTAAAACAGAAGCATAGCCTGTGTATCTTCTCATTTTCATTAGGCATCCAATGCATTGGAGGAGCTTTGCTTCAGAATTTTGGGGACTCTACCAAAGCCCCAGGTAAGGCTGAAATAGTGTTTTATTTGTAGGCAAAAAATTGCTCAGTGATATCTTGGAATTCCTACTAGAAGCAAATATACTCAATTTAGGAAGCAAGCCGAGAGGAGCTTGAAGAGGATAAGCTGATTTTGGATTAAAAACAAATACCTCAGTTTCTCTGACGTCTGAGAATTTAAGGTTATATCAGTGGAGTTTACTGTCACGGATTGGAAAGTTATATGTCCCCCTCAAGTATGTGTTCTACCTCTGATGAGAGAAATGTGTGGTCATTCGGTTTCTTTTCTCTCCCTGACTCATACTACAGTCAGAGACCAGATGCATCTTTCTTTGTTAGAGAGGACATGAAGAATGCAAGAAAAGCAAACTAGATCGTCAATGTCAGTGGAAAAATTATATTCTTCCTGTGATGTCTTGGTTTCTTATTAAAATTACTTGATTCTTCTGGGACAAATTTTTCACCTGAAGTGAGGATAGGTGAGAAATTGAAAAACAGCATTATGTACCATAGCTTATTTTATATTCTGTATCTTATAGATGTACTTATTTTAAAACTACCTTGTTAAGGACAAGAGCCTCAAGTTTAGAAATATATTTTTCATTAGCAATTCTAATTTGACCATGATCATCGGTACATTCTGACTGCCATACCTTTCACATACAATAACTCAAAGAAACCTTGATTTTTTGAAGGCATAAATGTTTCTGAAACTAAGTGTTTATGACTGTATTTGTTTCAGTGATTTTGTTTTTGTTGTTTTTTTAAATATATCTTTATTGATTTCAGAGAGAGGAAAGGAGAGGGAGAGAGAGAGATAGAAACATCAATGATGAGAGAGTCATTGATTGGCCGCCTAGCCCGCAACCTGGGCATGTGCCCTGACCGGGAATCGAACCCCGATCGCCTGGATCCCAGGTGGACATTCAACCGCTGAGCCCCGCCCGGCCGGGCTGTTTCAGTGTTCTAATGGTCATTTTCCAAAACTTTTTCTTTTAATTAAAATAAATGACTATGGTGTTTATCCATGCATTTCCTTTTATATTAAAAGCAAATGAGAACAAAAAAGAATGATATGAATCATTCTTAGAAACAGATTTTTGGAGGGAAAGAAGAATATAGAAAACTTTAACTCATAATCTTATTATTTAGTGATAACAACTACCAATATTTTCATGTGATTTCTTCTTGTCTATTTCTCTGAATGTCCTATAGGTAATCGTATCATTCCCATTCTTGAAGGATGTTTCCAATATTTTACTCTAATGAATAATGCTGTGGTAAAGATCTTGTATACACTTTATTTATGAACAGTCTTTAATTTCTCATTTATTTTTAGAGGAATATATGCTTAACCAATTTCAGTCTTATATTTTATATATAACATGTCATATGTTTTAAAAACTTTTGTGACAACTTTATATTATAAATTTTATACTACATAATATATTATACTTAACATACATTATAATTTTATGTTATGCATAATATAGTGATAGTTGTATATCTTTTTTCAACAGGAAACAGATGAAAAAGTTAATACCAAAAGGGTAAGGTAATTTCCATAAATATATACATTAAAAATAATAAAGAAATCTACTAATCATCTATAGTAAAGCTCACTACATTTTTTTAACAGTTCTTATTTCATTATTCGAAGACACGGAAGTTGGGCAATTCAAATGTTGTGGTAAGTTGTAGAATTACTTATTAGTAATCACTGGTGCTTTTTTCTAAACCTGTTTTTGCAGTTCATTTAATAGAACTAGATCAAAATTCATGTGTTGTTGTTTTTTACTTTAAAAGTTTATACATGCATGAACAAATAGCAATCAATATTTATTATACATTTAGTTTCTTTTTTATCTCAATAACTATATGCATATTAAAATCATTCATTCAAAAATTATTTACTGAGTATCTGCTATGTGCTAATCACAATTCTAGGTACTAGAAATATAGCAGTAAATAAAATAAAAATTAAATAAGAAATCCCTGCTGACGCAGGACTTACATTCTAGAGGCAAAAACAAAACAAAAACACACACAAGTAAAACATATTGTTTTAGATGGTGATTAGTACAAGGGAAAAATAGTTTTATCCAAAGGCATTTTAAGAATTATTTTAAAACATGATTGTTAAAATATAATTAAAGATAACTAGAAATATCCACTTCTATTCCTAAGATCTCCTTATTTGTTATTAGCCATTTAGTGTGAGAATTTACTAAGGTTAGCCTGATACCAATAACTTGAACTCAGTTCACTTCTAAATTATGTGGTTAGTAGTGGTTTTCTTTTTCGTGCATGGATTTAAAAAATGCTAACGAACCTACTTTGGTGTTTCAGTTAGAATACTTAATAATATTTGACTATAATATTCTTTCTAAGCTTGTGACTCACTACCATGGACCAATTTAGGGAATGAGGAGCGCAGTGTATTTCAAACATGTATGTACCTGTGGAAAGGGAACTGTACTCTTACTCAGTTTGAAATGTTTATCACGTTGAGTATTCTTACATATGAGGAGTTGAAAGTTAGGTATACTGCCTTTAAAAACCAAATACAAGTTGAATTGGTTAATAAATAATTGTTCTATGGGCCTTAAGGTAGTCCATTTGAAAAGTGATTTTAATATTTGTGAGAAGGTTCTATTCAAGCCATGCCTTTAGAGTGAGACCGAAGCAGGTAGCCACATGTCCCAGGCGTGCTTTCATTTCCTCCTGCTTGGCATCTTTACCCTTTGAGAAAATGTATCTTAGTCATATTTTTCGCTGTCAACAACACATCATTTTTGTGTCCCATCGTCTTGTTCCATATGTTGAACTTTAAATAAACTACATAATTTGTAAAGGAGATTCCTAGATGTGTGTACAGCATAATCATCTAGAGAAACATTATCAGAGTGAAAAACTGCTTGTCCCCGAGTTGTCTCCGCCTGGCCCAGCGGGTGTTGAGTCTGGAGGCAGCGCTGCTCCTGCCTGTGAGGTGCGGGCCCTGTTCTCCCTCCGGCGGCTGAGCGAGATGAAGCCCCCAGGGAGGTGCTTCCCCGTGTAACGCGGACATCCCGCGGGGCTGCCAGATTGGATTCCATCTGCTGGCCGAGCGCCGCAGTTCTTTGAAATGCTCATAAAGGCCTGTCCGAGATAACATCTTTCTTGTTCTTTTTTGTTTGGAGCAAGTGCAGTGGGTAAAAACAAACAAATAGGAGCCCGCCTTTATGCGCAGTGCTGAGACGCCTTTGTGCTCACTGTGTGTGTGTTCGTGTCTCTCAGTCGTCTGTCGTGCATCCGTTGCTGCAGCTCGTTCCTCAACTGCATGAGCGAAGAATGAAGAGGTTCAAAGTGGACGTATGTAGCAGACGGCACCGTCACCCGGGGGCCAGGGGCACCTGCTGGCATGGCACCGTCACCGGCCCGGGGCACCTGCTGGCCCCAATGCTCTCACACCGGGCAGCCAGGACGTCCCCTCCCTTCCCCACAGCGTGGCCCTGCCTCAGGCTCTGGGCAGGGGGGAGCTGGGGTTAGGGCCCTCCCAGTGGGGAAACCTGCCCTTGGCTTAAGGGACAGAGCCAGGCCCTGGGCGGGTGCTCGGTGGCTGCAAGTGTGATCCCTGGGCAGGGCACATACAAGAATCTACCAGTGAGTGAGTGCACGGATCAGTGAAACAGCAAATCCCCCTCCCTCTCCCTCCCTTCCTCCCTCTCTCTCTCCCTCTCCCCCCCCTTCTCTCTCTCCCCTTTCATCTCTCTTAAATCAATAAAAAAGAAAGAAAGAAAAGACAGGACACAGCTAGTGTGCCTGGTCATGAGGTAAAAAACAATTTACTGCCCCTCTGTGTACTGGCCAGCAAGTGGCTGGGATGGCAATCTTTCTATCCAAGTATTGAAGTGTTAGTAAATGTAATTTCTATCCAAGTATTAAAGTGTTAGTAAAAGTAACACTTTAGGCTCAAGAAATAAATATATCAGAAACTAATTGTAGGTGTTTTGTTTTACCCACAATTAACAAAAATATGGCCCCAAAGCAGTATCTATGTACAAGATAAATATAGCTTTGCTAACAGCTTCTTAAAGTAGAAATTGTGGAGTTTGTATTGTTATTTGAAAAGAATGTTAACTCTTTCAATTATGAAAGTTTCTAGGTATTGTTTTTAAGTAATTCCTTAGATAGTTATAATGCATTATAATTTTCAGTCTTATCTGATCTCATTTTATTCTTTTGGCAACCCTGTTGGTACTTATATAAGTAATGTTATCCTCAGTTTACTAAAGAGAAAACAACTTGGAACAGTTAAAGGTGTTTCCCAAGATCATTCTAGCAAGCGAGGTTAGAATTTACAATTAGAAGTTCTGACTTCTAGTCTTGGCAAATATTTTTTTCACTGCGGCATTTCCTTTATAGTCTATTCTTGAATACTTCTAATTTTATTGTTATATTTTCCCTTGATTTAAATGCCATCTTAATTTTATTCTTAAATGTACTACCAAAAGTCTTCAAATACCTTAAAAAATGCATACAGTTTAGGCAAATAAATTTCTCAAAATGTGTTGTTTTTTCCCCCAGATTTTTTAAATGTATTTTTATTTATTTACTTTTTAAATCTTTATTGGTGAAAGTATTACAGATTGCCCCCTTTTTACTCCCATTTATCCCCTCCAGAGACATAGAAGCATAGAACAGACAGGGATTTCAGAGGGAAGGAGGGGGTGGGGGAGTGGGTGGGGAGAGATTAATCAAAATTTATTTTTATGATCATTATTTCCTCCATAAATTCTTCATGCTTCTATCAAGGAAAATAGTATCTGCTGCCCCCTTGAATGAGAAATGTAAGAGGAACTGTAGTAGCCCCTTAAAATTACAGAACTTCCAGTATGTAGACAAGCAAATCAGTTGTTATCAAGCTTCCTAGAAGTAATACATACTTTTTTGAATTAACTTCTACTCTCTGAAGTTTGCTTGACTTATGAATAGTGTAAGATTTCAATTTAAAGATTCAGTTTCTTAAAATACATCAACAAATTATTAGCTTAGTATATCATTTTCACTATATTTCCAGACAACTACCTAAAAATGTAAACTGTGACTTGGTGGTATATTCTGCTGGACAAATATCACTCTTACATTGCAGCAAAACAAATTTCATAGGAGCCTATGAAAGAAAAGAATGTGAGACATAAATAGAAAAGCTTACAGTAGTGTTAGCTTTGCTGGGCCTAAGTCACCTAATTTTAAAACATATTTTTGATAGCAAAGTATTTTGGGTTCTTAAAGAAAATGAGTTTTCAGATCCTAGCACATTCCAACACTTTGCTTAAATTTTGTTTGCTAGACACCCTCACTTCCACACCCATGTCTCTCATCCCCACCTCCCAAATTATATGCTGCTGCTCTCTCCAGTGATAAGACTGAAACAACCTGTATATCTGGATCTGAAAGTTTTAAATTTTAGCACATTTTAAGCACATGATAATATATATAATCATAATTGTATAGTTTCAGAGTGTACATTTTAAAATAGAAACAATTTCAATCTTTTAAGTAATTTGAGTGGAATTATAGTCAAGATGAGAATTAGGTATAAAATATTGAAAGTATAAGATTTATTTGTTGTAAAGCCGGGATTTCAGAATTTTAATAGACGTCAGAGCTATTTCTTAGAATTTAAAAATACTATTTTACTTCTATTATGGAATAACTGAAAAAGGTCTTGTTGATATATTTCATAATGATTGCCATCCTGATACTTTTATAGTAAGTAGTTGATGAAAATAAAAAGCTGTAAGAACCAATTTTATGGAAACCATAAAATGTTAAATATTTTTCCATTAAGTTTAAAATGAAATGTTTTAAGAAATGAAACACTTCAAAATATACCCATTATGAATAATTGGTTTGTTCCTATTTGATATTTTTTACATTACCATTTCTATAAATATAATTATATTGGGAAAATCTCTTCTGAAGTCTCATTAAATAAATATAGTTTACCTAAGTTGTCCCTCAATTTCTATTTAAATTCTTATAGAAATATTGTGTATTTTAGCTCTGACACAATTCTATTTTATATTTTTCCCTGTTGTTGAGTTAGCACATACAATATGGATTTTAAAGAAATTATTTTTTTATAACAAAATGTTGAAAGGAGATTTTAAATATAGTTAATTATGAAGTGTCTATTATTTCCCTTTCTACTTATTGACAAATATACGTTGTGACAAAGTTCCTGAAAGTAGAATCTTTATATTAATAAGGAAATTATTTTAAAATATAACATTCTGGTGATACTGCCAGTTGTTGAAAAACTCTTCAGGTATAAATACAAAGATGAGCTATTTTTATGAATTATATCCTCAAGTCCTTGATTCCCTTTTTGTTTAATTATGACAGTTAGAAATAACTTTGAGCTTCACTATACTCTCTAGAAGAATTTGCACTTATTTCTACTATTATTTCATTTGTAACGTCCTCATTTTCTCTTCCAGGAAGAATTCCAAGGTCCTTTTGGAAGCCATAGTCGAAGATACTTTTTATTCAGGGTATGCAAATACTCTATTTTTTAAAAATCAGTTAATATCAAAATTGAAAATTACTTTTACTGTGCATTTATTTACATTAACTCATAAGTTTTCATTGAGTTTTGAAGTTTATAGATATTTGACATCAAGTATCATAGTCTGAGATTCACTTCTGTCACCAACTTACTGCTTTAATATTATGGCATCTGTGATCTCTTCTCTAATTCCTCTACTCATGTTTGTAAATACCCCAGGTGACATTCACCTGTTTCGCAGTTTAGTTCCATAAAATTTCATGTGCAGAAAATGAGTGTCTTAAAGATGTATTACTCCTTAAGTTCTAAGGACTCATTTACTAAATGTTTTATTCAGTAGATTGGAAGAGTTATGACTATTTTCATAAGTTTTTAAAAGTAAAAAAATCAACTACAATAGAGGCTATAAGTAGACAAAACGTTGTCATTCTATTTAGTATTTTGTATGTCCATGTTGTGTATGAAATGTGAGTTTCTTTCTGAGCAGCTATACTTTCTAAAATGTTTATATCCCTAATGTAGTAACAGAAATTTTTCATTCATTCATTCAGCAGCTAATTATTGAATTTCTACTAGGTGCTGGACAATCTATCAAAGACTGAGAATATAAAGCCAGATAGGATTCTATTCTTATGCTCTAGGAGTTTACAGCCTAATATAGGAACTGGATAAATAAGTAAATACAAAATACTATATTAAATGCACCTTCAATCAAGGGGCTATGGTTTCTAAAGGAAAGGCATGTAACCCAGGCTGAGCAGTGAATGAGGTCCAGAGAGGCTGTACGGGCTGAGTCTGACGAATCAGCAGGAATTAGCCAATGAAATATTTAGCTAAGGAATTTCAACTTTATTGTAGAGCTAAGGAAAACCATATGACAGGGTCAGATTTGCATTTTGGAAACTAATTCTAACAACAAATTGGAGAATGAATTGAAGGAAGAAGCAAGACTACATAGAGGGCAAAATAGTATCATGCATCAAGATATTATTAGGCTGCTTTCTGTGAAAATCAACCTCCCTCCTTAGTTACACTGATTTATTACTAATTTGTTGTTTTCCAGCCACGCAACGGAAAAAGATCAGAGGGTTACATTTGAAATGGTATGTGTTTCACAGTTCAACCCAGTTTGAAATTTTCTGTTATTTTCTGATATTCACGAATTATACTATGCTAAATATATTTCTATTATTTGATTGCATGTATACATTTATATTCTCTATAAATACTATAATTATAGGAGCTGTGAGGACTAGGTGATGGAAAATGTCAGTATTTTAGGGCCAGTTTTGCTTTATCCATGTCATGCATTCCTCAGGTTATGTGGCAGTAGTCGTCATCACTGATTTTCTAGACATTGACCTCACCATCATTTCTTGTACAAGTACATGTAAGGGATTGTGTTCTTATTGTAGTAATCGGTGTCCAATGTAATGGGTCCGAACTTACAGAATAAATGTACTTCTGTCTTCCAAATGATTCATATTCAAAGATTCTTTATAAAAGCTGTGGTTTACCATTTCTAGAGAATAACAAAATGTGAAAGACATGAGAGCATGACTTCTACTTTGGGACTCCCAGTTCCTCCTTCAGTGCTGGAGATACAGTAGACACTTAGTGGCTATTGAATGGTCCTAACTGTTTAATAAATATGTTAATCCTAATATCTTATTATGTTATGAATTTTGAAATTAAACCCAAATGCATATTGATAAGTTTATACCACAGAAATAAAAATACATTCTACTACTTTATGTAATCCTAAATGCAGATTGTATGCTGAATATATTTTTGCAAATATTTCATTCATATCATTTATCTCAACCCTTAGGTTTAGAGTGCTAAAATTATTAGTATTTTCTCAAAAAACCCCCCAAAATCAAAATGCACTATTTCTAACCAAATAAGATATCAACAAAAATTATACAATATCTAGAAAATAGAATGAAAACGCTGAATATTAAAACTTATGGGACTGCCAAATGTTCAGTGGAAAATTCAAGGCTTTAAACACTCTCAAGCAAGAAAAAAATGACTGAATCAAGGACTTAACTCAGTAAGTTAAAAAAGAACAAGATGAACCTTAGGAAAGCAAAAGGAATAAGAGTATAAAATGACAGATAAAATTAGTAAATTATAACATAGTAAAGTGGAAGATTTGGTCAATAAAGCAAATTATCTGATTATTTGCAAAAATAAACTAGTCTAATTAGCCTAGCCTAATTGAGAAAAAGGGAGAAACTATAAGTATACAAAAATACAAGTGATAAGAGGGAAATTAAAACAGATAATGAAGAAATGGTTATTATAAAAAAGTACTTTGCAAATCTCTTGTGCCTGTGCCTCTCTACTTAGAAACCTACATAAAATAGAGAATTGTCTAGTAAAGTAGGTGCTCCCAAAATTCACCTGAGAAGAAAGGAAAAACCTAAACAGATTAATGGCCATGGGAAAAAATTGAAAACATTATCCAGAAACTCTCCCCTCAAAAAGCCCCAGGCCAACAGATTTTGAATTTTTCTAGCTCAGGGAAGGAAGAAAAATCTCAAAATATTTGTTATGAAGCCAGCCATATTTTTTTTATGAAGCTAATACCCAAATCTTACAAAAATAGTATAAAAAAGGAAACCACAGGTCAAAGCTATTTATAAACTTTAATGCAAAATTTAAAAGATATATTAGTAAGCCGGACTTAGCAATATATTTAAAGAATTTCATGACCCCATAAGTGAAGTTTGTTCCAGCAACTCAGGATGGTTCAATATTAGGGAGCCTATTAAAATATTTTCACCATTAGAAGAAAAATTATCTCAATAGATGCTTTTGTTAAAATTCCACATCAGTTTCTGATGTTTTAAAAGAAGGAAGAGATGAATTTTCTCTTCACATTGTTTAGTACAGGTTTGATAGTAAAACACTAAGGAGCATTTCCATTAATGTCAGGAACAAAGCAAGGATGCTCTGTCACCTTTCATTTAATGTGGTTCCTGTGCATTAGCCAATTCCGTTGGACACGAAAGAAATAAAACATACAAATGTGAGAAAAGTAAAGAAAAACTTTAATGTGATCATGGGGCATAGTTAGGAACTTAGATTTTCAAACTATTTCTGGCATTAACTGGTGTTTCAACATAGGCCTATTATGTTCATATCAGAAATATGAGCTGACATATTCTTAATTTTTTCTTTTTTCAAGGAAATAAGAACAAAGAGTTAATGAAAAAGAAACTATTTTTCATAATATTACAAACATAGAGGCACTTACATAATGTGAACAAAAAAAGTTAAATACTAAATGGAAAAAAAGTTTGTGATTGTAACATCAAAGTATTAGAGTGCTCACAGATGAGAAATAGAATTTGATCTATTATTTGAACAATTTAGTAAAAAATTCTCTCTTAAGCTGAGAAAAATAGCTTTATTTGACTAATGACTGACATTTATTTATGAAACAGTTACTCAGATAATAGGAAGATTTAGTCACAAATACTTAAGGAAATAAGGACATGAGGAATAATCATGCAGCTTTTGAAATATTTTATTCACAAATTTTGTTGATATCAATGAGCTTTAGGGAACCACTTTTATATATTTAAATACTGGAAATTTTTGGAAAATTCAGACATACAGAGTAAATGTCCCAGCAAAGAGATTAAATGATAGCCAAAAATATATAAACTGGAGAAAAGCTAGGAAATACCTCAGATATCTGTTTTATCATACATGAGAAAATATTTGTAGAAACATCTATACACAAACATTATATACATATTCACATACTCATTTATACTTGAATCTAATTTCAATTTTTCTTTTTACAGAATACCAACTATTTTCCACAGAAGCAATGCCATGGAATACAAAATATACTGATATTTTGTGTGTGTGTTTTTCTCAAAAACAATTCTTGCTAAGTTTAATATGTTTGAGAATTCCTGTGTTGTAAATATTCTTAGTAAAAGTTGGTCAAGATTATAAATGTTTAATTTGTTGAAAATTTAAAAAGCATCTTAAAATATCTTTTCTTAGTGTTGTAGTGATAACTAGTGTACAATAAAGCTGTAAATCATGATGTTCCTTTGTTATTTTTATTCAAAGCACTTAGTAGAGAGTTGAATTTTAATGAGCTACTTTAGTTTATCTTATCTGGATTTTGTCAGTGGCAAAATCACCAGCTCTTATAAATGCCAGAATGCCCAGTAGCTAACAATTTTAGAGCGTGGACACCAAATAAACTCGCTGGAGGAGTACCAGCTAAACCTGTTGGGGATTTGGCCACGATTCATCCAATAGTCCAATAAATAAGTTCTGATTTATATTCTGTAAAATTGATGTTTGATTGCTACAGATATATTAAGGGACTAGCTTTTTCTGCCAACTAGCAGTATTCACTTTATCTTAAAATACGTTGTTTACCTTACAACATTTGACAGGCAACCAGTCTTGTCCATGATCAGAAAGTAAAGTTTTACTAGTAGAGGATCATGAATATACTGGGAGAACTTTTTACATCAGTCAGTGTTTGGTGGACACAGAATTCATCTCAGATGGATGTTGAGGTTATCTCCCTTCAGGTTCCCTTGGGTTTTTCCTTTCTGACACCCTCACTCTTGTTTTTTCTTTTGTTTTTGTTAGTCCTCACTGGAGTATATTTTTTTCCACTGATTTTTAGAGAGGGTAGAAGGGGTGGGGAGAGAGAGAGAAACATCAATGTGTCTCAATTGGTTGCCTCCCCGCAGGCACCCCAACTACGGCGGGGATCAAACCTGCAATCCAGGTACGTGCCTTTGACAGGGTATCAAACCAGAGATCCTCAGGTGCGCAGGCTGACGCTCTAACCACTGAGCATGCGGGCCAGGGCATGACGCCTTCACTCTTGCATGACCACCAAGCAGGTTGCTGGCTGATGAGAGAACGGCCCTCTGAGTGGATAGGATTAGGTCTTACATTCTTCAGAGTATCTGACAAGTCTTTGTCTTATTAATGTTGACCACTGATTATAGTTTAAATTATCCCTTATACTGATAAAGTCCCTGAATTTCACTTCTTCTACATGTGTCTGAAAAACATATGGAAATAACAGACAGAAATATGTGTTAAATATTTTATATTTATACTTAACACATTAATATCTTATACACAAATACCACAAAACATACAGGCTTCTGGGAGTATAGGATTTGTATTCGTTTTTGAAAAATGATTTGCCTTGACAAGATGGGGACTTGAAAGCTGAGCAGGTCTCCTGCTCTAAAGCCGTGGATGCATAGGGCAACATTAGTTAGTGCTATGCACAGTTATCAACTTGCATGCATTTTGGATTGTCAAAATAAGAGAAGGGAGCGGAACCCTAATTTAAGCAGCAGTTCCCAGGGCCTCTCAGAAATCCAGAGACTTTGGCCACTTACATGTTTTAGGACTCACATGATATTAAAATAAAAAACAAATACCAAAACATGGTTTCAAAAATTGTGGAATGTTTTAAAAATATTTTATATTTAACACATTAATATCTTATACACAAATACCACAAAACATACAGGCCTCCGGGAGTATAGGATTTGTATTATTAACTGAGCACTACGGATAGAGCGGTCCAAAGCTGAACGCAAGTTTAACATTACGTCCTTAAAAAGACATTTCTTTTTCTTTTCTCCAAATCCTATCAGTATATCTCTGTGACCACGTGTCCATAAGCCTATTTGGCAAGAACATCAAGTGTTTGCCCCACGATCCTGGCAGCCCCTGGTGAGCATTTCCGTAACCTAAACCCCAGGAACCCGACTATCCAGGTGTCCGACCTAAAGCCAGAGCCCCCGTCTCCTAACGCAGCGCGTTTTTAAGGTGGGGGTGGAGGGCCATTTGGGACCCTGATGGAAGCTCTGCTCCTTAACTAACCCCCTCCTAATTGCACACATGCAACAAAAATTATGGGTACGACTGGGGCCTGGGGGTTAGGTATCCCCTAAAACCCGTCCAGATACAGGCTCTGGGCTCCTGGGTTAAGAACCTCTCCGAAGGGCTCTCTCCCAGGATGCTGTTACCCTGTGAAGACGGGACTCAGGGACTGGAGGGTGTGCGAGGGCTCAGAAACGCGGCGACTTGGTGGCGGCGCGGGGAAGCGCGCGAGGAAGGCCAGTACCCCCGCACGCGGCCAGCAGAAAGGCGGTGTCGGTGCCAAACAGCCCCCGCCGGCGCGTGC